TTTTTTTTTTTTTTTTTTTTTTTGATTTGTTTTGTTTTTAAAAGGCATTGTTTTCCGAAGGGGCATTGAAGAATCTTCGAAGATAGATCCGATGGTAAAATGCATCGAACTTCCAAGTTGCATTTCAATTCTTTCAGTGATAAATGTTCCAATAATAATAAGTAAAAATCGCGTGTTGCATTTTTCAATATGTGTTACATCCCCGAGGAATTTTAATGGCTACCACCAAGCAACACACTGTTCCGCTGTTGTCATCGAAACCGTAAGTTTTGTAAATAAAATACACGTCTAATAACGATAATAACAACAATAATGATAGTAACAATAATAATAGTAATAATGATTATTATACAACGATAACAATAATATTAATATTAATATTAATAATAACGATAATAATGTAATAAGTATGATGACATCAACATTACGATTTGAACGCGAGTATACATGGACATTGTGATATATATTTCGAGCTGGCCGTTCAATTTTTTCTAGCGGTAAAAGCCCGAGCAAAGATATTCCGAGTGGTGTGGAATATTCGCGCGAGCGGCTGCGAAAGAGAATAAGTCGACTATTCTAGTTACGAATTTACGGTAGGATTTAGGAAAACTTAATGAATAAATATATGAGATAACAAGATAGACGATTGGTCAGTGTATCAACCACAAGAACGTATACGATTTTTAATGTACAAAACTTTTAAATGTATCGGAGGCGGTGTGGAAACACACACACACACACACACACACACACTTCTTTCTCGATTTCGTCCTGTCGTCCTGGGGACGGAAAAAGCAAGACCCTTACGATGTTCAACTGGAGTGTCTGTGGTTTCTTATTTTCGAATGCTTCGTGCAATACCTCGCGTCGTCGAGCATCCCGCATTCCTTTTTAGCGCATACAGCAAGAGAGCTGTTCTATTCGATGATGAGCTTCATCTCCAAGCGAGAGCTCCGATCGATGTCCTTCGTGATCGTGATACCTCTCCTCTCCTAAAGGCGAATAAAAAAAAAAAAAGTAATTCCTGTATTTATTTAATTTATCATGCGTGTGTAGATAGCTTTTCGCGAGCGAAGGTTGGCGCTTCGGTTGATTTTACGTGACGGGTGCGCCACTCTTTGCAAGCGATTTGTAACATATATTGGGCTCTGCTGATCGTACGTTTAAGCGTTCTTTCGTGCACAAAGTTAGCCCGAATCGTACAGTCCGCAGAGACGTCACCCGATTCGTCACAGATTCGCGTGAATCGGAAAAGAGAATCGACTGACTTTATCGCATCTCTATCACAAATCATTATTGTCGATGAATTTAATTAGCGATAAATAGACAGAATTTTAATTTTCATCGTTGTATAGTTGTGTATAGAGGTCAACTAAGTGTGTAAAATAAATCATTATCAAAATATCGACCGAATTTGTCTCGTTCCGCCTTAACTCTCGTTCCTGTTTGGGATATTTCGAGGAAAAAAAAACAGTTTTAGTTCTATGTTAATTAGTTGTTAATACATTCAGAGAGAGTGACAGAGACGATAAACATAACACAAGTTTAGTTGAAAATATACATTTTTATATATTTTTTGTAGGTGTATATATATATGTATATAATATATTGGATTACATTGCATCGTTAATTCTTACATTGTTACAAAGGGAAATGTACGAGAAATTAAAGCTGCACTACAATATTGATTGAAATTAGCACTCATTACAAAGCGGAAATTGCTAAATCGAGAATATATTTTATTCATTGGTTTTTTTCTCTCTCTCTTTAAATAAGACTACGATGAACAATAACGAGTAACTAACGAGCACTGTATCGACAATTATAGTTTAATTTTCTAAACAAATGTACAGTATACACAGTCTTTCACTTTAATTAACGTAATGCTTATTAAATATTTAGCAGTATGTACTGCATATATATTAGGTAAACCTGCATATATATATATATATATATATATATATATATATATATATATATCAGATAAGATGTAGAACATGTAGATAAAAATAATTTCTCGTGTCTAAAAGCCCTTACATTCGAGAGCAATTGTTTTCCAAAATCTCGCATCAGTATCCATTTTGTAGTGATATGTTGATATAACGTATATAGTTTATTTATGTGATATAAGTTACTGTTGAATAATTTGGTCATGTGTCATTCATTTCATTTTCTATTGTCCAAAAGGCCTTCAAGTAAAATAGTAATCTTTAGTATATATAAAATAATTTTTTAATGTATATCGAACAAAATGTGTACTGTATTTATTTTTTTTTTTTCACATGTTTTTGCTCTAAGCAGAAGATATCGAGTCAATACTTTACTAAAACTAAATTAAATATTATTAATACTATTTTATTAATTATTAATACTTCTAAGACTCTATACAGAATGTGCAAGTTCTATAATAAGGATCTTAAGAGAAAAATTCAATTTCAAAGACGTGTGTGATTTTTTAAATTAGTTATATAAATAGTTTTTTTGTATACATGCATAGATCCCCAAAAGTATGAAATTGAATGACTTTTTGTCTTATAATTATAAATAACATGTATATATTTCCTTTCTTTTATTTTTGTGCTTCTGTTTCTTTCTTTTCTTTTCTTTTCTTTTTTTTTTTATTATAGACATGTATTCTTGGTACAATGTAAATACGAATATTACTCGTGCAGGTATTATTTTCGAGCTGATTGCAAGTAGAACAAAACTTATTTTAGCTACACGCGATCGTACATGAAATATGGAATGTTTAATAAACAAGTTGTTACTTTTCTTTAAAAAATTTATTACTGGTATGGTCGAAATAATATTTATTTTGAATGTTAAAATCACTGATAAACAGTGCTCGTGTATCATTCTCTCAAAATAAATATTGTTATTTTGATCACATCAATAATAAATCGTCATAAAGATTTACGAAGTTTCCATATGATATATTCCACAAATTATGTGCAACTTGTAAATTTGAGGCACATTGTCGTCAAGCACGTTTCACAGTAAACTTTTTATATAAGATTTTGAAATAAATCCGGTTTTGTCTTTGACTTAAACGTTCATGATATAGCTTATTAGAAAATAAGTTTAGACACAAACACTTCTGTGTTAATATTGTAAATAATTTTGTTGAATAAAAAATATATTAATTTTGTTTAAAATAATTTTAAGAAAATAATTACTTGTTATTCTAGAAAATTTTCTTTACAAATAGTTTTTCAAGAATTTATTTCCGTTCCGATATTTCAAATATTCACACTAACAGTTAAAAAAAATGTCTGAAAACTTATTTACTAAAATATGTATATATAAATATTATAAATATGTTTATATAATATTTATATATAAACCTGTGTAGGATATTGTGTAAATAAAACATTCTGTATATTTAACGGTCGGCAACATACACAGCGTACCATCAGTCGTTCGCTTTCGGGCTCGCTCGGCAAACCTCGATGGCGCGAAAACACTCGAGTATACGACGCGCGACCAGTTGTTTATTCCGCGACCGGGACTAACGCAATAAGATTGACGGGGTATTTGTGCACGTTTTTTCCATTGTTTTCGGTAATACCGCGGTATAGTGTTATTGTCTTAAATAACTTTAGCAAGGCTGTTGTCCGGCCGTTCGTCCTCCGAAGTTTCCGGTTCCGTATTTAGTTTACTGAAGTCGCGAGTGTTCGGTCGTGTGTGTTTCTCTAAAAACTTGAAACTCCTCCCGCGGCGATTCTCCAGCAGACTGGACAGCTTGAAATTCTCTCGTCTTTCGGCCTCCCAGCGCATCTTCTTCCGCATGGTGAGTAAGCATCCTGTTTGATCAAACAGTGTACACAACTTTTTTTTAATCTATGCGAGAAAATTGACGATACATTACACATTCTCTTATAGACCTGGCCACTTTCAGGCCCAAATTCATATTTCTCAAATCTTAGATCAGGGAGTCAAATAATTTTGATCCAAATTAAATTTGATTGAATCCCGGATAATTCAGGTTATTCAGATAATTTAGATACTTAGATAATCTAATATAATTAAGATAATTAAGACAATTACGATCATTCAGATGAATTCGGACCATTTCGAACATTTCCTCGAATTCGGAGTAACATAACAACGTTGCGCACGCGCGAGATTCAAATCGATACGCCATCTTAGCGCGCTAGTTCGCACATTCTTTACGACGATACAAATTATGAAATTATGAGTGCATTAAAGCATTTTTGGTGAAAGATTGAGAATATACTTTAGACATGAATCATTAGTTACGCATTACTCCGCTTCAAGGTACCGATATCACATGCAGATTTTATTTACTTATAAGCTTGCCAGTGCTGTAGAAAGATAAAAAATATATATATGGGTGTGCAAATAAATGTTAAAAAATAATTAAAACTTGAGATACATATTTCTTTATACATATTCATACAATGCGTGGCAAAATAAATAATAAGCTAAAACCATTTAAAATATATAATACAATTCATACAGCAATCAAAATGCAAAAAGAAGCTGATTTCAGTATAACGTATATATAGATTTCAGTATAACGTATATATAAGTATATATAAGTACATAAGTATGTATAAGTTTTAAATAGTTCGCATTATTTAAAATATATATAAATAAATATATACAAATTTTTAATAGTTTGTACAAAAATATGCCGGCGCGCGCAAAACATAATGATATACACGATGCAAATACTCAAAAAAAGATGAAAATTATTTTAGAAAAAAGAAAAAGACGTTACAAATATAATTCGGACATATAATAATAATAATAATAATAACAAATCGTGTTTACAAATTTGAAATATTGAAATAATTGCAATTCAATCAGTAATTGAATAGAAATAAAATCTTTGAATACAGCCACACACAACACACAATCATAAATATAATAATTTAGAAAACAAATTAAGTTAAAAGTGCACAACAAAAAATACCACAAAGATAAAAAAGCACGAGACACAAATGTTTCTTTCTATTCTACTAATTTAGACATTTCAACTAATGATTCATCATAATAACTTCTTGTTTTTCTACCTCGTTTTTGGTATTTTGCCACAATAGCGGCTATCACGACACATATTATAACAAAAGAAATGGTTGCCGAACCAAGTCCTAATATCCATTTTGTCATATTATTCTTTTCATCGTCGTCATCTGTAGATTCGGGATGTACTAAGATATTTGTTCGGTGCCGTTTAGCAGGTGAAATCTCGGAATGCTTAGACTCATTTGTGCCTAAAAAGAGAGAACTAGAAATGTTTATATAAAAATTATTCTGCAATATATATATATATGTATAGTGTTTTATCAATACTACCTTGAAGAAATCTGTAAATCACGTGATTATTTAATTCTACTACATATATCTCGGAACCATCTTCAGTTACGTAAAGATCATGTGGATTATTCATTTTATCCTTGGGTGCAAACATCGACGTAATTTTTCCAGAATAGATATCAAGTACGAAGCCTCGTACTGGCACTGGATGAGATGTAACTGGATCTGGTCCGTTGACTAGATATAATTTTTCTCGAGCATAAGCTACACTAAAAATTTTTGTACCAATAACGGGATGTTTGTATTCCTTATGGAATGTACCATTGCTGGCAAAGAAACACAGAACTCTCCCATTTTCTCTATCAGCAACAAATATATAATTTAATTCAGTCGCAAGTGCTAAAGCATGTGGAACAAGAAACGCGTTTGATGGAGGCAACTGCGAATAGACAGATTCTAAAATAAAACGAGGCTTAGATTAGAATTTAACTAAATATTTGTGTATAGTTGTCGAATTCACTGATTTTCATCTTACCTTCAACACCCCAGTGTCGTCCCCAGTATAAAATTCTTTCTCCATGTTTGTTAAATTTGATTATTCTAGAATTGCAATATCCATCGCTGACAAAAAAGTCGCCATTAGTATGTACAGCAACAGCAGTTGGCTTACAAAATCTTTTCTCATCGTTACCGGGAACAAAAGCCTCTCCCAAAGTTATAGATGGTTTTACTATGCTATTTTCAAATAATGCACTGCTATGGTAGTTAGGCACCCCTGTCTCCGAGCTAAACTGGGCGTGTTTCAATTCTTCCATGTGTTTTTGTATATCTTGAGCATCAAACTTGAATACCTGATGCATCGCTACATCAGTGATCCAATAATTGCCATCTTGATCAATAGTCAAACCATGCGGAAGATAAAACATGTTTCTTCCCCATTCTAAAATTATCTTCCCGCTTTTATCCAAAAGGATAATAGTATTTTGCTTTATCGGTCCATTATTTGGATTAAATCTGTTTCTATAATCAAAGGTACTAAATCCCCAAACGCGATCTCCCCTGTGGAATATAGCAATATTGCCCTCTGGATCCATAGAAACTGCTGATATTTGCATAAGTTTCAATTGTGCAGCCCAATCAGAATCCCATACTATGTCTAATAAACAGAAAATAATATTAAAAGTGATCAGTTTGGATTTTCTCCCAAAAACAGATAAACAACATACTCTTATCCAAGGCATCTGTAGTTGGTGATTCTCCAGCACTAAGGTGACTATTTTGTACGTATAGATTATTTTTCATCTGTTGTTGCTCATTTACTTGTTGCAATGATCCCATTTCTCTATCTTCATTGTCAGGATATTCCAAATATTCATTAGGATTGAACTTTATATCAGACAGATGCTGTAAAAGTAATGGTGTTTTGTTTGTATTTATAGTCTTACACAACAACTTGTGCACAAAGAAAAATTGTTGTAAATTTTCTCTTTCTATTCTATGTAATGAGATTAAAATACGTAAATTATTACCTGAACATTCCGAGTATCCTGCGGGTTCTTGGCGTGCGTTAAAATAGGAAATAAAATTAAAAAAGAATAGATAGTGTCATATCGAAAATTCGTCATTTCGCAAAATCGTCATTAGGTGTGCGTTCGTATTACTGATTTATTTCGCATCGGTAATGTCCGCGATATAGCGAATAGTAAAAAAGATCTTCATAACTTTACAAGATCATAAACATTTTTCGGCAAATACGTCGAATTTGTCGAAATATCACACGTCGCACTTCAGTACGTTCGATCAGCACACGAACAAGCTCGCTCTGATAATTAGCGTCATTCACAATGTCATTAGTAAAATGCCGTTCTGAATAGTATCTAATACTCCAATCTATAAAATAATGTCGGTTGTTATTGTGGAAGAACAGAGCACAAATGTCGACGTGTCAAGAAAACGCACATTTCCAACAAGTGGCGTTACACATGACGCCATAATGTTTGGAATACAAATAGAATACTCTTTACCGACGACGAGTTTAGCGCGGCTTGTCTTCGTCGATCGATAGCGCAGATTTGAAACTGGTTTTCGTAATATTTACGCGTAAAGGCGCTGTATGTATTATTTCCAGCGCGTCTTTCGACATTCATTGCCTACACTGAAAATCTATAATAACGTGAATCATAGATTTTCCATATTGCGATATCGAAACGCAGCCTTATTGAATGCACACTATAAAATAATTTTTTTTCTTATATTAACCCTTATTTTAAATTATCGCTGGTCGTTTTTATGACTTTTTTGTTTTGCACATAATATTCACAAAATTTCAAATCTATGATTCGCGTGACCTACCTAATTGCTTTTACCTTAAAAAACTATTATAGCGTCTTGCTATTTTTATATTAGAATTTTTGCACATGTATATCGATAGTTTATTAAGACGCATTTTAAAAATTATGCGTATTTTCACGCGCAATTTCTTTTGTTTCGTTTCCTCTTCTTGATTATATTTATCTTCAAAAATGATATTTACGTTTTGTCGAACAATCATTTTTCCCGAGATTTCCTGAACGCGAGATTTACGTTTCGTTAGCTTCTGCATATCTATATGTATAAATTTCTCGCCGCTGTGTAATTCACCTCTCTACCTCTCGTACGCTAATCCTTCCATGAATGAAAAGCTTCACCGGTTGAATGTTCCGCGATCCAATACCGCCGTCTGTATCCGCCAGACGATGTCGGCGGAATTCGTCGCGAGAATTTCCCGACATGGTTTCGTCCGGAAGGGTTGAGTTTATACTCGAATCAATGTCTCATTCGATCATGATTTGCATTCCTCATTCAACCTTCCCGCCTCGCATTTCTCATCGTTCCGCGTGTCACTCGTGTACAAGACCTTTATTTTCGTACAATACACAGATTAAACTCGCGAATAAACTTTCTGTCGCGTATAAATGCGCCACGAGTTGAAAAAGAAAACTTTGGTTCTCTCGCAAATGGTCCAGGAGAAAAACTTCCAAATTGCTAGAACATCCATAAACGGGAAAGAACATTTACAGTAATAAAACCTACTCGAACTGAATACAAACGTCAAGTTTTTTGTGAGGATTTTCTGAGATTAATTAAATAATTTATCATAAAATTTTATCGAATAATTAAAAACTTAAACGGGCATTTAATTTAAACGAAAAACACGTTGCTCTCAAATGAGCTAATCTCGCGTGTAGAATGTATAAAGAACGTCTATAAAAAAAATCTTCGATTTTATAAAATAAGTTGCAAAATGAAGTCTTTAAGATATTGCGTGCGCACAGTTTTCTCATTGAGAGAGGAAAAAATTTAGAAAGCAAAAATATCTTCATAATATCTTTGCATAAAAAATCTCATTTTGAACTTCAACTTCGTCAGTCAAAGAGTTAAACGTGCAATGTGGTTTGGTGTTTTCATCGTGTCGCGTTGCGCACATAAGTGTACATTTATTCATTGTGCGCTAAATGCCTGTCATTTCGCAAATTACACGCAAGATGCGTTGAAGTGTTATCGATATCCTTAACAATGACGCTCATCCTTTCGCCAGGCCGAAAGCGCGTCAATTTCGCATTCACCGCGTTGCGGTGTGCGTGTCGACGGCAAATTTTCACCTTAAACTGCAGACGACAGTGAGTTCTTTATTGCGGTGAAAGAGAAGAGCCGCGATTGTCAGCTGCGAATAAACATAAAGAGATGTAGGACCTTTGGTGTTCCGTTGAAAAACCGCGCGGTCGACGAGCGACATTACGAGCCCTTCTCGTCGTAGGACAACGAAAGGATTTGACAATCGTTTTGTCCCCTCGGTATTTTTTTTTTTTTTTTTTTTGTTTTTACTCTTCTCGCTTATCGTCTCCTTCCTGTCCGCGATTCATTTATCTTCTTTCGGGGGAGTTCACCGCTACGGGAAAGAGAGACTATAAAGCTTGTAAATCCATTTAATGCGGTCCTCAGGAAATAAAGAGATTCGACTGTTCCAGGTTTCCATGCTAATGTAGTTAGGCGTGTGTGTTGTAAAAATTGTATCCTCAACAAATTTTCCATCGTGTCTTCCATATACCTGCTTTTCGCTGTTCTTTTTTTACGTTGTTTATTTTATTCAATTAATTTGTATCTTTGATCTTAAAACTGTACAATTTCTATGTGAAAAGAAACGACACAAAAGAACTTCATTAAGTTTTTATTAAAGATGTAAAGAACATATATATAATTTTTTCTTTATCAATGCAGATATCGCAATTTTGGATTTCTCGGTATAAAATATAAATTGTCTCTTTGAACTTTATCAATAAGAAGATAGATTTAATATAATGCAAAGAACGAGTAATTAAAAATAACAGAATGTTCAAGAAAATCTCTTTCTGATACGTAGTTATTTTTTTGTCTTTTAAAAGAGATACGTATTTTAATGAATAATTTTTATTTAACTGCAATATCTCCGCATGAATACTTTTTCCATTAATAAAATGTATGATTATCATAGATGATTATCTTTCGTTCCATGCACACACACACACACACATTTATATTAATAATTCGAAAATATTGTATATTATATAAGTAAACATGTATGTACGTGCATTTATTACTAATTCGAGATGAATAAAGCAGAAAGCTACATTAGTGCAATTTAATTAATTAGATTTTAATGTATATAAAATTTTTCATTATCATTTTATCGTTATTTAAATATTACTAGTATTTTGCATATGCACGGTTGACCCGAAAAATTGACAGCAAAATATAAACGTGCACGTGAATCCAATCCACGAAAATCCTTTACACGATTCGACGCGCATTTGTGATGATCGCTCGGTGCGGATACTATTGCCGCATGTACATTTTAGTTTCACGCGGTTTAGCGTTTAAATTGCGGCGTCGTCTCCCTTGCCTTTGATAGTCGTAAAATAAATAATCAGTATGGCGTCCATACGCGCGGGAAAAGGTAAGCAAAAAATACTAAATAGCGGTATGAGGTTTGCGAAAATATATGAAGACTCGTCTATTAATGTTGCGTTTCGCGACCATTTTCTTTGAAAAGAATCTTCTCTGAAGACTTTCTAACACATTTCGTAAAAAGTCTTGCGGATTAATGTAGAGATTTAAAGCTATGATGGCTATGTGGCGACAGAAAAAGATAATTTTATATTTTTACAATTTAATGAACACACACACACACACACACAAAATCTAAGAGATTTTCATTACTAATATATTTATATTACAAATATAATTATTTTTTGCAAACTACTGTTTGCAAACTAGTGTTTTGTACCACTCACACGTTGCGTAGATATATAATACAATATTTTTCTTCAAATATACATATATATATATGTATATATTTTTAATAGTACTATATATATGTGAACTACCAAGAGCGCAAAAATATTTGTTTAATGTACGTCCTATTGCATCGTAAATAACATGTATAATATCGACATTTGCGATACCGTCTATTTTGCAATTTAAATGCTTTATTGTCTGTTAGTAGAATTTTCAGTTAAATTTTTTTTTTTTTTGAAATCAAGAAAAAAATACATACTATTTTTCACATTGCGTTTGCATGTCGCTACATGCTATCTACTATCAAGCGAAAAAATTAAAAGTAATAACCGTGAAACCGCCATGTTATACATCGAAGGTCGCTAAAATCTCGGTCGACAAATTTCACTGTCGATCTTCTGTCAAGAAAATAAGCTCAAAAGAGAGGAGAATTCCGTACCGTTAAAAGCATCGATCGATAACGCTCGTAATAATAAATTACCTAGACGCGAAGAGAGCGCAAAGTAGCGATTCGACCGGGTATGAACGAGTTGAGACTGCCAGACTATTTTTATTTATTTTCTATATTGCCAGTATCTTTTCATACAGTTTTACTTAGCTTTTACGCAAACTTTTACACATTTTTTCACTCACAAAACAATCTTTACTAAAATGAATATCTGTTTTTGATATTAATTTAAAATCAAATATTTAAATTATTAAATTAATGCAATTTTTTAAATATGTTATACTCATACACACACACACACACACACACACACACACACATATTCACAGTTCTTTCATCCGCACGCAAGCACGCAATGACACATATTCCTCTGTCATATCAAGGTCTGTGAATACAAGAGGATGAAACACATATCACGGAATTACTGTGGATAATCCATTAAATGTATCGCCGCGCGTTAATGCAAGCAATAAAATGTAAGCAAGGACAAAGAGTACGAACCCAAGCTAGCGTGATAATCGTGAAGGTCAGAATATCTCCCCTGTTGAGAGATTAACAGGATGCGCTCTCTTGTAGTGGCGGAAAGGGCGGTTATTATGCTGTACCGCGGCGCGAAAATTAATTACAAACTTCGCCGTGTTCCGCAAGGGCATGCAAAAGTGGCGAAGCGGAAGGCAGAAAAAATATTATTGCGCACGAGAGAAACTCTCTCTTTACACATCTGCATATGCGCGCGCATCAGAAATATCGTTGCGTTGCCGTATATTTGCAGAACATAAAGGGATTTTCTCTCTCTCTCTCTCTTTCTTTCTCTTTATCACAAGTTTTATGATATTTGCTCATTAGTAGACTATATGTGTATTATTTTCTCGCACATTACAGTAACTTCAATAAATAATTTGCCAGTAAGAAGTTTCACAAATTTGTATGATCGCGCACAATTTGAACAAAAGTTTTTTTTTAAGTCCGACACTTTCACCGCGACTGCTCACACAAGATGTATACTAAGTAGTATAAGCTCAATTGCATTCTCGCATTGCGATTGTAATATTAATTACACAGCACTTCGTTAGAAGAAATATAAGAATGTGTTTGCACGTTTCAATTGTACGCGCTTTGTAGTGAAAGTTAAGAATTAAAATATTTAACATTTATCAACAATTTGCCTCGAAATCGATTTCTCGCGAGAAACGCATTCTTCGTTAAACATAATATTCAGACCTATTAACTTGTATTC